GAATCTTGGTCACCTGGCTCACTGTATTACATCTAAGCCACTTGAGAAGGCCCAACCACAGGAGCCCAACCCCAGCCATGCTCATTGGGGTCTGATGTTACCATTCCCCACTGGAAACTAGCTCTGGGATTGTATCTTGGCTCAACTCTGTGACAGAGTGCTGCCAAGAAAGGCATCCCCAGGAAGGCAAAATACATAGTGCCCTGTCCTAAAGGGCTGAAGATGCATCCAGTGATTTCCATGATCACCCAGTGCCTTGTTTTGATGTGCTGGGAATGAAACCCTGGTATTCCTGTACTCAGCTGGTGTTGATGCAGCTGTTTAGGGTCTGAAGCCCTGGGATGGACTGCACAGAAATGGGAAGGGGCTTTGCTAGGTGCACCCTGCTTGCCCATTGTCAGGAGCTGCATCTGTGTGATTCACTCCCCCTTGCTCCCCAGGGATGTACCGATATGGCAGTGAAGATACCGTCATTCAGCAAAGGTGAGTGACACCCCTCCCCAGGGCCAGGTGTGATCAGAGGTGGCTCAGCCCCACAACAAGCAGGAACCTCTAGCTTGAAAAAATAAGGAGCCTCCTGAGGGCTCTGGGTCCAGCCCTCTCTCCCTGCATGTTGCAGGGTCATGCATAGGAGCACATGCCAGCTAAGTAGAGCCAGCCCAAGTGCCCAGCATGCGGGGCTCTTGGTGGGAGGAAGGAGATCTCTGCCATATTATCAAGGCATGAGATGTTTCCATGCCCTCAGGCCTGCACAAAGGGATCTTGGGTCTATGATGGGTGCCAGTTGCTACCCAGAAGGGCTCCCAGCAGGAACCTCTAGTGCAGATACAGTGATGATGCTGAGACTGTAGTTTTCTTGGGCTGGTGCAGCTTCTTTTGCTTGAACATGGGTGCTGGTGCACAGTATGGTGCTGCCGACATAGCTATATCCACACAGGCAAGACCTTGCTGCTATAACATGCCAATCAATGTGCACCAGCAAAGTGCCTAAGCAGGCTTTCTGCTGAATGACCAGACGAGGGGAGGAACAGACTGGAGCAGCAAGCCCTATGCCAGAATGGTACACCTACCCTGCAGCAAGAGCTGTGGTTGTGGGGGCCTCCGCACCTAGGTTCTTAATGAGAAAGGAGTATGGTAGTGTGCCCAACTGTATGCCAGACCCCCAAGCAGCAGCTGGCTCTCCAGAATTGCTGGCCAGGGCAGGTGACAATAGTCACAGCCCTGCAAGGAACCCCTGGCCTTCACCTTGCCAATGTGTCTGGATGTCTGCTCCTCTTTTCACCCCAGGACAAACACCAGTGACTCCCCATGGCTTTCAGACACCTGGAAATCCACATTGTACTCCAAGAACTTCAGTACCTGTAGTAGCCTGAGCAGCCAGCTCCTGTGGGCTGAAACCAAGGACAGGCTGGACTTCCACCACTCTAGTAAGTTCCTCTGCTGTGCCCACAGGGCAAGGTTGATTCTGCTTTGCTCTGGGCAGGAACATGGATGGACCTGGGCTCTTACCCCATGTAACCAAACCCTCTCACTGCAGCTGTTACCAGTGAGGAAGGGGCAGGAGGAAGGGGACCTGGAAAGGGACAAAATCAAAGGATTCAGCAGGGAAGGAGTCCTTCCATATGCAATGGCACTGGTGTATGCAGGGTTGTGAGTGCTGTGCATTGTTGTCTGTACACAGCAGAAAAAGGTGTTCATTCTGTGTGCAGGACTGGTGTGTGTGGCTGTGCATGTCACGCTGTGTGGGCAGAGCTAGTGTATACATGCATGTGCTACAGGCCAACACATCCTGTTCTGCTGATACAGGAGTAGTACATGTTGGGTGACTGTGTGGGGCTGTGTGCCAGGTTGTGGGGATGTGGCTGAGGAAGCTGCCTGTGGCACTCAGCTCTAATATTGACCCTTATTCCTCTCTTTGTAGCCATGTCCTTTGACCACCAGAGCCACAGCTCCCAGCTCCCACTAACACCTGACAACAGTAGTTTGCACAAAGCAGTTTATGTTGACCTTCCTGCTAGAGACATGAAAACCTTTCACTGCCCCATGCTGCCCAGCCTCCTTGAGCCTCAACACAGAAGACCTACTGAACACTGGCCTGTGCCCTGTCTTAACCCAGGCCTCAGTCTAGAGAGCACTTGTGTGAGGGGAGCCATTAGGAAAGGGCCATGGCAGCCAGTGAGCTCTGTGCCCTCCCATCTTGCGCTCCAGGGTCCTTGGAAGAGCTGCAGCAAGTGGGGTAAGTACCAGCTGACTGGCTTCAGCTGTGGATAAAGGCTTTGGTCTCAACGTAGCTGAGCCTAAACTTAGAGTGAGGGTGCAAGGCTCCCTACCGACAGTCCAGAGCCTTGTCACCCAGCATGTCAGTCGTGATCCATGAACCAATGGGAATGGGCTGCCCTGCCATGGCAGACCGTGCTTGCAGTGCCGCAAGAAGGTGTCCAATTTGGTAGTTGGGCTGTGCGAAACAGCAGCGTTCCATTTTGACCAGTGTTTCGACATTTCGATGGAACACCATTTCATTTCAAATTTTGTTTCAATTCGAAACAGCTGTTCTGTTTTGTTCCGTCGAAACAGCGAAACTGTTTCACCATTTCACCCATAAGATATAATGGGTAAAGACAAAACAGCCTAGAACTTTGTCATTTCAGGCTTGATTTGAATGAAACTTTCAGGAATGGTAGCCTCTTCTGAGGGCATGAAGCCTGCTAAGTTTCAAGGAGATAGGTACAGGGGGTTCAGGGAAACTGGACCCCAAAATCTTGAAAGCAAAACACATGTCACATGTATGTGTTAAGCCAGAGTGAGGTCAAAACTGCAGGGCAGGTGGCCCCTGTGGGCACCACAAAGCCTGCCAAGTATCAAGAAGATAGGTGCAGGGGTTTGGAGGAAACTGTACCTCAAGCTGCAGACAAGCAAAACTTGTGTGTGTTAAGGTGCAGCAGGGTGAAAGCCGCAGGTCTGCTAGCCGCTGCTGAGGCCATGAAGCCTGCCAGCTGTCAAGGAGATAGGTATGGGGGTAGTCTGGGTTCAGGGGCCCTGCACCTCTAGCTGCTGACAGGCAAAACTTGTGACTTGTGCAACTGTGTCTGCCTTGGGGCAAGGGGGGGTGAGGGGAAGGGAACTACTGCAGGCCTGGCTGCTAGGCCCTGCTGTGGCCACAAACCCTGCCAGCTGTTAAGGAGAGAGGTGCAGGGGGTTTTTGGGGCCCTGCACCTGTAGCTGCTGACATGCAAAACTCATGACATGAGTGCTTGTGCTAGTTAGCTACCGTGTTACGCAATCTATCATGATTCACTCAGGGACCAGCTCAATACATAGTAGCTAGTAAGGATAACGAGTTAATGAGCAAGGATTAACTGCTACAAAACCATAAACCAAGGAGAGGAAAGCATCAATACAGAGCCAGGAACTGCTTCTGTCCCAAGACAGAAACAGTCAATTGCACAAGCACCCAAGTCACAAGTTTTGCTTGTCAGCAGCCAGAGGTGCAAGGCCCCAGAACCCAGACTCCCCCTGCACCGATCTCCTTGACAGCTCGCAGGCTTCGTGCCCTCAGCAGGGCCTAGCAGGCCTGCAGCTTTCACCCTGCTGTGCCTTAACACGCACAGTGTCACCCTGTCACGAGTTTTCCTTGTCCACAGCTTGAGGTACAGTTTCCCCCAAACCCCTGCACCTATCTCCTTGAATCTTGGCAGGCTTTGTAGCCTCCACAGGGGCCACCACCCGTGCAATTTTGACCCCACTGTGGATTAACACATACACGTGACATGAGCTTTGCTTTCAAAATTTGAGGGTCCAGTTTCCCCAAACCCTGTGCACCTATCTCCTTGAAACATGGCAGACTTTGTGGCCTCAGCAGGGGCTAGCAAGCCTGCAGTTTTGACCCCACTGTGGCTTAACACATACACGTGACATGAGCTTTGCTTTCAAAATTTGAGGGTCCAGTTTCCCCAAACCCTGTGCACCTATCTCCTTGAAACCTGGCAGACTTCATGCCCTCATAAGGGGCTACCATTCCTGTGAGTGTCATCCAAATCAGGCCAGAAATGTCAAATCTATTGGCTTTTTTGTTGTTCCCCATTATAGCCTATGGGCGAAACATTGAAATAGCGTTGAAACAGCAAAACGTTTTGACTTGCCTTGTTTGTTTCGAGGCTGTTCTGACTATATATGTTCCACTTAGATTTTGCTGTTTCGACCTTGAAACGGTTCAAAATAGAGTTGAAGCAAAACTGGTGGCAAAATTTTGCACGATCCTATTGGGTAGCCATAGTCCCAAGCATATACAACATCTAGGCAGAGCCAGTATTGCCTCTATGGTAGTTTCAGTCCCAGGATGCTGCATAACCTTGGGCCAGATCCTGCATCTCTCACTGCCTGCACCCCAGCCAGCCACAGGGACAGTGGCCTGCTGTCCCTTGGTGCCATGCTGAGACCTATGCCTGTGGAGGCCCAAGGAAGTGCTCATGTCTTCCCCATCCTCCTGTCTAATGTGTTACCAACCCCATTCAGTCTGTGCTCATGTACAGCCACTGCCCTATGGTATGCATCGCGAAGCTCCTGGCTGACTCACAAGAGGAGACCTAAGCTCTGAACTGGAGTCCCGGCAGCCAGCCTGCTATAGCAGCATCTCTCCCTATGGACGGCTGCTGGGGGAGAGGGGCATTGATAGAAGCTGCATTAAGTTATCTCCAGAGTTCCGGCCCAAATCAAAGTTACAGAATTCAAAGCAATCTAATCCAGCCCTTGCCCCTAGCCTTACTATTCCCTTCTATGGGCTGTGCAGAGTACACTCCTTCCTAAGAGGTCACCACGAGGGCACTGCCATGGACCTGGCTGAGCATGGTAGCTGGAAGATGAAATGGCTTCCTGCAGCTCAGGCTGTTTCCTGCTTCTGTGCAGTCATCTGCAGTATACACCCAGGACCAGGGCCAGAGCCAGGAGGGCAGCTGTCTGCTGAGCACTGCAAGGTGACTGGCCCTAGCCACTACTTGCGCTTCAGTGACTCAGCCTCTGGCTCTCACGCTGGCCTGGGATGTGCTGCTGGAGGAGGCCATTCTTGCTTCTGATTCCCTGTCCCACCAGCTCTGTTCTTGGGACTTCATTCAGAGATTTCTAGGAGGAGCCATTAGATGATCTCCTGGCCTATGTTAACTAGAGAGCTGCACTGCTATCCAGCATCTAGACAGTGCTTTGATCAGTGTTAAAGCAGTGATTCTCAACCAGGGTGCTGTGAGATCCTTTCAAGGGTGCCATATGATTCATAAGATAAATCCAGGTTTCAAATAGGAATTCATAGTGTTAAAAATGTTCTACCCTTGTTGTAGTCTTTCTGCCCTCTTTGCAACACAGACCTGTTTTATTGTGTTTTTCTGTAATCAAAAACCAAATGAAACTGGCATTTTCCAGGAGGTTCCTTGAGTCTAATAAGGGGTACCTTGAATCTAAAATGGTTGAGTACCACTGTGTTAGACTAAAGAGTTAAGCACCCAGTGCTATCTAGGCCCTGAGCAGCAGAACTACAAGGACAGGTCCCTACTCCTTTCTGCTTTCAGCAGATCTACTTCAGTTCCAGGTGTCTAACAGCTGTAGAGCTAAAGCTAATACAGGGAAGTCCCCTGGCCTGGACAATACCGGTTGACCTCAATGACCATGCTGATCTTTTTTAGCTTTTTTGCTCTGGGACTGTAAAATACCATGGCCCTCCTTGTTTTATGGTGCCTTGCAGGGCCATACTCTGGCCAGTGCAAGCAGAGCAGCCTGACAGCTGTGTGTGGCCATGGGAAACAGAGAACACCAGCCTTGCATAGAGCTGAGCAGTTCTTGCACAGACTTGGGGGAGGGGAGGGGAGGGTGGGGATTCCCAGTGACAGTTGCTAGATCAGGAGTGACCTATGACTGGGATCAGGCCCATAGTGTCTTTGCAGGGCTCCTAAGCTCTTGTGGCAATGACTCTAGCTGCTTCTGTTGTCAGAAGCTGAATTCCCAGTGTCAGTCCAAGTCTGTACTGGCTTCCATGGAGTCACTTCAGGCCTGTGCATCCACAGCTGTGCCCAGTGGCAGAACTGCAGATCTAGTTGTGACCACCTAGTCGGGAGGACAAGCCCCACCCTTGATGCTCACAGCTGCTCTCCTCTTCTCCCCAGAGCTTCAGCAGGTACACAGCACCCCTTTGCTTCCATCCAGCTTCTCTGCATCCTCAAGTGGCCCTGACAGTACAGACTGTCCCAGCGATAGAGGACAGAGCCTCACAGGCAAAGGTTAGTGAAGCAGCCAACTGCCCTGTGGAACTTGTAGCTGCCCTGCCCAGAGTGTGGGGCTGCAGGACAAGGCCAGACAGGGGCTTGCCTGTTCCTCCAGTGCCACTGCAAAGAAGAGCCATGTTTCACAGCAAGCTTCCACTCTACTCCTAGGGCTGCGGTGGAAGGGCTTTCTGGAGTGCCCCATTGGCTTCTTGGATCTTAGGGGGTGCTTTGGAGATTCAGGGTGGAGCTGTGTAGGGACAGGCACCATGGGGTTTGAGGGATAAGTTGGGGAATCTCTGTTGGCCTGTGGTGCCCTTTGAAGGGGCCTAAGGACTCCCTGGGGTAAAGGGAAGGATCTTAGGCCCCTCTTGGGGACAGTGATAGTTCCCAGTTCTGCCCCAACCCTCACTCTTGCCCATGTCAGGACTGCTGCAAACAGTAACATTGAGGCAATCCATTTCCATATGTGCTTGCCCTGCCCTGCTGAGCCAGGTGGAGTGGGGGAGCCTGAACCCCCAGGCCAACACCTAGCTGTTCTCAGGGCATTGCCACCTGCAGAGGCTCCAGGCCAGTCACTCTGAGATCCAGGAGGACGTTTGGTACCAGAGAGGTGTCAGCAGAAGGCAGCACAGCCCTGCACAAAGCTACAGGCGCAGCCACCAGCCAGGACTCTGGCCCTGGGAGAGGAGAAAGGAGTCACCTCACCTTGCTCTGACTGAGGGATGCTGTGCTCTGGTCCTCAGTCCTGCTCCCCAGCACCAATAATCCATGAGCTCTCAAACAGCCAGGTCATGCTCCTGGTGCTGCCAGGCCAGAGGAAGCGAGGGTCACTTACTGGGCAATGGGCACTGCCATCCAGCCTGATTGCAATATCTCAGTTCCTCTTTGGCCAGTCTGGCAAAACCCTGGGATGGAGGGAGGGGGTCCTGTGAACCCAAGACGCAGGGCCTGGATTGCTGGGCTCTGACAAAGCAGGGGCAAGCTGGAATAATGGTTCCATCATGGCTCTGCCTCAGTTCCAGGACTGCACAGGAAAGCACCAGAGACTGGGCCCAAAAAGCAGGACTTTTTCAATAAATCCCTATTTGTATTGACCCGGGTCCCACCACCTTCATCTTATGCTGGGATTAGCTAACACCATAAAAGAGGAACAGCTTCTGAAGAGGATTTGAACTTGGAGCTATAGGTAATAGGCTGAATTGCACTGGCTGTAATGTTGGACAGCCAGTCCACCTGTCCCTTCCTTGTGCTTATGTTACACTTGGGACAATAATGCTGCTTTCTCCAGAGATGTGTATTAGTTTGGCTCAGGCTTTTCTAGGACTCACACAGGCAGGACTTCCTCTCTCAACCTTCAGGCAAGACTTCCTCTGCTCACAGGGAGTTTCTTAAAGGGAAGCTCTTTGACTGCTGTTTACTGCTGTAAGCTGCAGCCATGACTGGTACTGCTGGGTTTCCAAGGAAGAGCAAATAAGAAGTGAAGCTTTGTACTGGGAGAAAGCCCAACTGAAGGGATTTACCAGGTGTAAGATGCCCTGAAGGAGAGCACATGACTTCGGGCCCATCTGAGCTGTGGGCTTGCAGGGTGGGCCAGAGGAGGACACCGCATAGCTGTGCTAAGGTTTTCTGTGTGGGTGACATTTGGGCTGGCTGGGTCATTTCACTGATTGACTCTCTTGGATGTTGCTGAAGTGTGGCACAAGGCCTGAGGACACCAGATCATAGTGAGCTGCCAGTAAAGCTTATGGATCACAGTCTGAGAACATCTCACTTCCTGACCAGCCAGGCATCACTTCCTAGCATGTGTGACATCACAGCTCTACTCCCACCCATACCACAGACTCACCACTTAGGACAGATGGGATCCGAACTGCTGATGGAACAGACCAACAGAGGAAATGTTTATGCCTCCAACCATCAGACCCTTTTCTGCCCTGAAGGAGTAAGGGAGGGCCCAGAGCCTCCAGAAGGCACCTGTCCAGAGCTGAACCAAGTTACTCTGAATATAGTGCCCAGAGTTGAACCAAAATACTCTGAAAGCAAATCCACTTTGAAAACAACTGCAGTTACCCAGTGCTGTTGTTATTTCCCAGTCCCTTTAGAAAATACAACCCTCTGTACAAGGGCTGTGAGTATTCAGGGACCCCCAAGAGTGCCAGAGAAGAGAGTTCTCTCTGGGGACTGTCACATCTACAGACCCTGAGGGCACAAACTGGCCTGTATTACAGAAGACAAGTTGAAAGGTATCTGGGTGCTTTCACTTGCAAAGAGTAGCTGAATTTGCTTGACCAGCTTATTGCTTAGCAGAGATGCTTTTTCTGCTCTTCTGCATCTTTGTGTGAGAGAGAGCTACATACAGCTCCAACTCTTGCAGGGATGCTGCTACAGGTGGAATCGCCATGGGCCAGGGCAGACAGAACAAGCAAGCAGTTTGCACTGCAGTGGCCTGTCAGAGTTTGCCCAAATGAAAACACAAAGCAAGAAGAGACAGGAACTTGTCCTTCCTTCTCTGTGAGCTGGAAATAAACTCAGCAAAATCTTCCACAAGACTCTTCACAAACGATTATTTGGGTCTGAATTGGAAATGAGACCCAGCTGTCCTGGGTGGTAAAGGGGATGGTGTCTCCCAACTTTGCGGAGAGAGGGGTGCCAGGCACAGAGCCTGCAAGGAACAGGATTCTGCTTCCTGCAGGCAAGAATGCAGCCTCTGCAGACAGTGTAGTGCCTCAGCCAGGTTTCCCTTGAAGAGCGGAGTGGGTCACAGAGAGGCTCAGATAAGAGGAACAGTCTGAAGGCACAGAAAGCCAAGGCAGCCTCATCAACAACCTTGCAGGTCCTTTGTAGGAGGAGTGGGGAGCACCCTCAACCTGGGACCACATCATTAGTTGCTCCAGTGCCAGTAAGCCTTGGTCATGCCATGTGCTGCTGCTGTGGTTTATCCTCAGAGCTGGCAACAGAGACTCCTAGGCAGCCAGCTCACTGGGCACATCCTTTGCTCTGTAGGAACATAAGGCTGAAAGGATGGGTCTTTACTCAAAGGAGAAAATGTGACTGCCAGGGCACTGGACTTAATCATCCACATTTTGAGAGGCAAGGATCTCCAATACTACCACCAGATAGACACTCTGTGAGTTTGCGCAGTCCCTGTGCCTTTGATCACAGACCTTTTGCCTTAGCTGTACCAGCCCCAATCTCCCATCTCAAGGTCCTACACTGTGTTGGAAATAAAAGGAGCCCTCAATTCCTGTTCCTCCATGCTTCTCTATCCCCTGGCTGGGATTGAGTACTCTGCTAATCTATGTTGGCAGTTTATTCTTCATTTAGACTCAGCACCTGTTCTCACCTACATTTACACTTTATATTTTTTCCTTCGCCCATCTTCTTCCCCATTCAGGATCAAGGGATTCATTTCTTTTCTGGGCCCAAGGTTTGATGCCATTGGGCTCCCCAACTTTTTCTAATGTTTTTTCCTTTGTGTCTCATGGCACCATCATCCTAGTCCCTCCCTCACATTCGGGGCCCAGGGCACCCGTCCTACCTTCTTGGCCTTTCATGATTTTTTTCCCTCCGAGAAAGCTCCTTAAATGTCACCTCGAGAGTTTTCTGGTTCCAGACACTTTCCCTCTTATTCTTGCATCTAATGCCCATCCAAAGTGACTGTACTGTCTGGGAGTACAGTACTGCCTTCTTGATAACTGTGACATGCCTCTCCTTCAAACCAAGAAGAAGAAAGGACAAAGAAAGAAAGTGGAGAATGTTTCTCTTTGACAACTCACTTGGACTGAGTTTGGATCCAGGCTCCAAAAGTTCTTCCCAATGTCAGTACCTCTTCAGTGCCAACTCATTGCAGATACCTACCTGCATGATCCCCAGCAGTGTAGAACGTGGCACCAATGCACTGGTCCAGATAGAGTCTCCAACTAAGGAATGAAGCAAGAAGCCTGCTTTGCCTTACTCCCTGGACATTTCTGATGTCCCCAAGACCTCATCGACTATCACAGACTGAAACACTGGATCCTCAGTGTCCAAGCTTTCCTGGCCCATTAGGGACTTAAAGGAGACTTTTTGATAACTGATTGTCTTGGCACTGACTTCATCTCCTGGCCCTAAGCTTTCATGGTCCAGTAATGGCTCCCATGAGGGTTACAGTGCAGGGAGCGCCAAACTGTCAGCCCCATCTTTTGCTATGGACCAGCCAACTCTAGCACTGACTAAGCAGCCTGGAATTAGGGTGTGCATGCATTTTACCTCAAAGATGGAAGCAGTTAGGTTCCAGGGCCAGCTTTGTCCAGCTGGCTCTTCTGGCATCAACCTTGGCATCTGCTGAATTTTTCCCCTTCATGGAGCCACTGCCTCCATAGCAACTGGGACCAGCACAGACTCTAGTACCATATCCAGCTTCATCCTGATAAAGAGCCTTCTATCCCCAATACCAATTAGGGCTCATACTCAATGTCTGCAGCACTGTTCCCTGTTCTCCCTCCACAATGCCATAAGAGAGCTTCTTGCTCAGCATAATAGCAGCCATTTATGTACCTCCCTCCAACACATTGGTCTCCAAAGCCTCCTCCATTCTTCCCTTTTTGACCTTGGGCTTCTACTTTCCCATGACTGTGGTGCCAGTCATTGCATTTCATAGTTTCATAGTTTCATAGTTTTAGGGTCGGAAGGGACCTAATAGATCTTCTAGCCCGCCCCCCCGCCAGGGCGGGAGAACAACCCAAAAAAAAAACAAACAAAAAAAACCACAAACCCTAAAAACAAAAACGGGACTCAAATGAGTCCAGCCAGGTAAGTATCCAGCCTCTTCTTAAAGATCCCCAGGGTAGGGGCCAGCACCACCTCCCTTGGAAGTTGGTTCCAGCTCCTAGCCGCCCTAACTGTGAAGTAGTTTTTTCGGATGTCCAATCTGTACCTCCTCTCCATCAACTTGTGCCCATTACTCCTTGTTATGCCAGCGGGGGCTAGGGGAAACAGCGTCTCCCCCAAACCCTTCTGGTTCCCCCTAGTGAGTTTATAGACGGTCACCAGGTCCCCCCTCAGCCTTCTCTTGTGGAGGCTGAATAGGTTCAAGTCCCGCAGTCTCTCACTGTAGGGTCTGCCCTGTTGTCCCCGGATCATGCGGGTGGCCCTCCTCTGGACCCTCTCCATGTTGTCCACATCCCTCCTGAAATGGGGCGCACAGAACTGGACACAATACTCCAGCTGCGGCCTGACCAGCATCGCATAGAGTGGGGGATCACCTCCCTGGCTTCTACTCGAGATGCACCTGTGGATGCACGACAAGGTCCGGTTAGCCCTGCCAACCATGACCTCGCATTGTCGGCCCATGTTCATCTTGGAGTCAATAATGACACCAAGATCCCTTTCCGCCTCCGTGCTCTCAAGTAGGGAGTTCCCCATCGTATAAGTGTGCTGCTGGTTCCTACTACCCAAGTGCAGCACCCTGCACTTGTCCGTATTGAAACACATCCTGTTCCTGTTTGCCCACCCCTGTAACCTATCCAGATCCTTCTGCAATCTCTCTCTCCCTGCTAGCGTGCTCACCTCCCCCCAAATTTTGGTGTCATCAGCGAATTTAAACAGGTTGCTTTCCACCCCAACATCAAGATCGCTGATGAAGAAATTGAACAGCGCAGGCCCCAGGACCGAGCCCTGGGGGACTCCACTCCCCACCTCCCCCCAAGTCGAGTATGATCCATCCACCACCACCCTCTGAGTGCGACCCTTCAGCCAATCTGCAATCCATCTGACTGTGTAGGCATCTATGCCACAGTCGCTTAGTTTATTAATTAGGATGGGGTGAGAGACGGTGTCAAAGGCCTTGCTGAAGTCCAGAAAGACTACATCCACCGCGACACCTGCATCCATGGCCTTTGTGACCTGATCATAAAAGGCAATCAGGTTGGTCTGACATGATCTCCCACATCTTCCCTGTGTTTTGTTTCAGATCACATGCCTCCCCAGCCAGTTTCTGTAGAGTGCTATTCCCCCACCAGCACAACCTATTTTATTCCTGTATAATTTGTATCCTGCTGTTACAGCATCCCATTGATTTTTCTCATTCCACCATGTTTCTGAGATACCTATTCTGACAATATTGTGATTTACTGATATGCATTCAAGTTCACCCATCTTGGATCTTAGACTTCTGTAATTAACATAAAAGCAATTTTACTTTTTATTGTTGCCTACTTGGCTACTTGTACATGATCTTTTAATCAGTAAATCTATTTGTTTGGGCTGGGCTTCTCTGTGTTTCACCTGACTGCTCCCATCCTGTTTCTTATCACCATTGTCTGTGTCTTTGCCCCTATAGGACATGCAAATCTGAACTGTGCGCTGTTTTACTCTTGTCGACTTTCCTCTAATAGAGGGTAAATTCAGGTTGGATATAAGGAAAAACTTCTTCTCTGTAAGGGTCACCAGAATCTGGAATGCACTCCCAGCAGAGGTGGTGCAGTCGCCCTCCTTGGAGGTGTTCAAGATGAGGCTGGATGGGCCGAGCTCATCTGAGCCCAATACCTTGCTGAGCTCATCTAAGCCCAATACTTCCTGCCCATGGCAGGGGACCAGACTTTATGATCGTACACGTCCCTTCCGGTTCTATGATTCTAGTTTAAAAGCTGCTCTACCACCTTTTTAACATTGTGTGCCAGCAGTTTGGTATCATTTTGTTTTAGGTAGAGACCATCCTCCCTGTATAGACTATTTCTGTGGCAAAAAGTCCCCCAGTTCCTTATAAATCTAAACCTCTCCTCCATACATGGTCATCTCAGCCACTCAATGGACATACCTCCCACCAGGATAACTGAACTATTTTCAGGAGCTGGCATATTAGCTGCAGACAGGAAGACATGGGGAAGGGGGGTTGGGGGGTGGGAAGGATTGGGACAAGTGTTGCTCTGTTGTTGGGTGCTTTGGTCAGTGTGAGGGTGGGTGTTCTTTGGTTGGGAGCTGGTGTGCAGGTGGAGGGTTGGAAGCAGGGTGCTGGTTGTGGGCTGGATGGGGAAGTTGGTTACAAGGCAGGGAGCTGGCTGATGAGTGGGAGATGACTGAGTGTCAGTGGGGATAAGGGCCCAGGACAGCTGACTGATCCTCTCTCTCTTACTTTTCTAGGGGAGGACACCAAAGTGCTGAAAACCTTCAGCTCTCCCAAGCTGCTGCAGCACAGCCCCTTGCTGAACATGAATGGCATGCTACCCCTTCCCACAGTGCCTCCCGTTCAGCACAGCCCCCGGGATCAGGGATCACAGGAAGAGTAAGGGCCTGCTGACTTCATTTTAAGGGCCTTTGAACCTGCTGTGTTCTGTCTTTACCCAGAGCCTGGGCTGTGGATGCGGGAAAAGCCATCTGGCAGCTACTCAGGGCTTCCTCCTGGTGCTTGAGCATTCCTTTCACTCATCTTCACTTACTGATACCCACATGCCATGTGCAAGGCTCCTTGGGACCAGGGCATTGGTGCTATTGCAGCCATCACTCCCCCCCCCCAGCTCTCCCCACAATCATCAGAGGCACCTGGAATACTTTGCCTAGCTCCTCTGCAGCAGTGTGGTGGGCTGGGCCAGGCATTGCTTAGGTTTCTGATTGTGGGTAGGAGCCACATTATTGATCATGTTGGAGAGGAACCCAGTCCCTGGCTTCTTTGAGCTTTAAATACTGTAAAGTTTCCCCAAAGTCCCTTCAGCCCAGGCTGTGGGGCTGGAGGACTTCTCACAAGTAGATCTCATGACATACTACCTCCTTGCTATTTGAATAAATGGGCAGGTCTCAATCCAGAAGCATAAATCACTCAGATGTAATATCAGCTGCCCCTGTCTTCCCAGGGCCCCTTGCTTCTCATTTGTGCAGTGAAAGCATCCTTGAGCTCATGCATGGAATAATGATAGCATCATCTATGGGCTGCACAATAATCTGTTGCCTGTGAGAGCACGCTTGGTTAAAGGCAGCAGACAGCAGTGCTGTACAGGACAACTGCACCGCCCTGCTATGCTAATCACTACTTTGCTTACCCTTGGCTTCTGGTCTTCAGTGGCTCTGAGCCCTGGGGCTGGAGTTGGCAGTGATCCACCATCATTCTGTGCAGACCCGCATTCTGGGAGGGGACTTGCTGGAGTCTGTCTGTACTGGTGGCCAACTGGCAACTATGGTGCACATTGTTGTGGGCACGGGTTAATTATACCACCCATGGGCTGTGGACATCCTATGCCTGACTTTGTGGTCAGACTCTGTCATGGGGATGTGGCAGTGACAAGCATGTCTGCCAGATCTCAGGGGCTTCTATGGGGTGACATGGCTTAAATGGGGAACCTTAATGAGCAGCTGGAGTCCTCTTGTCCCTTTCTTGTAGTCCAGTGTGCCAGAGCAAGCAAGCATTTTGAGGAGGCCAGAGTGAGCCAGGAGGCCATGGTGAGACTGCTAGCATCTGTTAAGGCTCTGGCCACTCCCATAGCACTGGCAGGCATTGGAAGGAGATAGATGTACATGGCCCCAACCTCAGGTGTTTTCAGGTTCTTAAGGTTCTTATTAGTTCCTGGGTAGTATGACAGAGCAGACCCAGGAAACAGGCCATTTCCCCTGGGAGCAGAGATGGTCAGTCACATTACATTGTGCTTCCTTGCAAAGGCCTCAGCCATGTTTCGTGTATGTCCTTGGGCCCTGTGACATGCCAAGCTCCTTGCTGAGCAGCCAGTGGCACAGCCCTTCCAGGGTGTGCTTGGTCTGGACGGGATGGGATTTCTAAGAGATTGCTGTCTCATCTATATCCAGATAGGCAGACCTGAGCAGTAGACAGTGTTGTGGGCCCAGGGCTTGGTTCACCGAGGTTTTCCTTCTGGTTAAATATGTGGAGCTGCACTGGCATCTACTCTGGGGTCTATCTTTAGGGGTGCTCTTCAGGAAAGGGAGCTGCTGGCATCTTGGCTATTCCCTGCCTATTCCTACCTATTCCCTGCTAGGAGTTAGTTCTATGCTGATCGTATGCTGATCATAAGCTTAAGACATGGGCTAGTATCACTGTTAGGATTTTATATACAGTCAACTTCTACTGACCACAGACACATTCGCTGTTGCAGTCAGTCATTGGGGCTGTAACCCTCTGCCTTCAAAAAGGCCTGTGAGTCTGAAGGGGCAGCAGGGGCCAGTCTGGGAATCTATGACAGGTCATGCACCCTGTTGCTGAGGGTGGGCATAGACAGTTAAGTGCAGGGTAGGATGTGCAGGATCCTGGTGGGAAGTCATGAGTATCTCCATTTTCTGATAGTATCTCCATTGCCTACAGGTGCAGCAACTCTCAGGAGGACTTCCTGTCCCAGCAGCCAGAGAGGGGTTCTCTGCCAAGCTCTGAGGACACCCTGGGGGAGAAACTGCCCTACTACCACCTCTCCACAGCTTCACCCTCACTGTCCCTCAGTGAGGACAGAGATGCTGTGCTGACACCAGACCAGGTGGCTCAGTACCTAGAGCTCAGTGAGGAGGATGAGTGTCAAAGGTAAGGCTCCCTCTGGGGTTGATGCACTGCAATGGGGTCTTGACTCATCCAAGATATTGCTGCTGACATCACTCTTCTTACACAGGGTCCTGTCCTCCCAGCTGCTTCTGGGTTGTCCTGCTGGGGTCACTCCAAGCTTTATGCAGGCTGGGGTCTACAGCCCTTGTGTGTGGCAGCGCCAATGCCAGGCTTTGGAACCCCTATGGTCTTCTCTGCCAGAAGCCCCAGCCCTGTCTCACTGGAGAGCAGTCACAGGACATGATCCTAGGCATAGCTGTGGTGACTTTATGCAGGGGGTTGCTTCCTCCTGGGAACCTAAAACCAGGCTCCAAGTTCCTTTGCTACTGAGCAGGCACTATACCCTCCCCCATAGCTTAGGAACAGGTCCAGCAGCCTCTGGGCTCCAGATGCTCTCTTCTAGGGCCTGTGACATGGCTCCATCCCTTCAGGAAGGTTGAAACTGAGCTGTGGTTGAGGAGGAGGAAAGATAAAAGCTCTATATAAAGCAGCTCTGTAACCACAACATTTTTGCCAAGGAACCCACTAAACTCATGATGTGTTTTCTGCTAGAACTGAGCAGGGTTGGCAGAGCTGATGGGGAGGGGATGGGACCATAGGTTGGGACAGAGGGGCCCCAGCAGAGATATGTGAGGAACTGGGAAAGCAGAAGGCTACGAGTCCAGATCATTGGCAGATTGAGGAGGAGCTCAGGGCTGGAACAGCAGGGACCTGTAGGGAGGGTGTAAGGCATATTAATAGAGTGGGGGAAGCTGTAGGTTGGGACAGAGCTCAGTAAGTTAAGCTTGTGAGATGTGGACTGCTCCTGTCCTTGCTTCAGGGCAATTCTCTCCAAGGTGAAAGAGAGCCCTCAGGCCCTTCTCACTGCTGCTGAAAGGGGATGTTGGGGCAATCGGGGAGCGGGGGGGAGTGCTGCTTCTAACTTGCCTCTTGCAGCTTAGGTCCCTTTTGAAGGCTGTAGCTGATTCTCCCTTCTGCCTGAGCTGCCAGATCAGCCTGCTGAGCTGGATTGTCTCCTCACCCAACTGTCACTGGTGACTTGTGCCTCAGCAAGAGTGCTGTTACTTAGACTGCTCCACACAAAGGACAGGCAAGCCCTGGGTCCTTCACAGCACTCCATGCCACATCCCTACAGATCTCCCAGTGAAACCCAGTTCTCCCATAGCTCAGGGGCCCAGGAGCTGTGCTCAGTGCAATCATTTTGGTTGACTGGTGGGGAAAACCGAGGCACAGAGTCTAAGATGGTATAATCTATGTGCCTGAAACTGACCCCTATGCTCCTGTTCCCACACTTCACCTGTGTGATGTTAAATCTTTGCTGTAACTTTCCTGCTAAGTCGCCAGGGAAGGGTCCAATTCAGATTCATACAGACAATTCATACCTGTCTCCCCTGTGCAGATTGGTGTAGGGGAAGAGAGGGGTTGGCTCCACTTCCTTCCCAGATGCTCCTATAGGGAAGAAGCCAGGAGAATGTAATGGCAGTCAAAAGAAATGCTTGTACAATCTGTGAAATGACCTGAAATAGCTGCCTCCCTAGGACTTGGAGCACTGGCATCATCCAGCAGGGATTATCTTCCACTCTTAGCATCCCAAATGTTAGGGATCTCAGGACCATCTAGTCCAACCCCTGCACAGATGTAGGATGCAGTATTCCTAAACCGTCCCTATTCAGTGCTGATCTGTCCTCTTCTGAAAAACAATTCACCTCTGTGGGACTTGTTCGTAAAGAGTTGAGTAGCCGGTGCCATTGTGGCACCAGAGGCCAGCATTTCCAAGGGCACTGCCTTGTGAGGATATCAGCTTCCCCCCATATAATCTATAATGGTCAGGAAGGGAAAGGAGGAGCAAGGAGCTGGCCTTTTATTTCATTTGCAAGTTTCTTAAAGCAGTTAGAACAGATTGCTAATGGGGTGTTCCACCTCACTATGCTTCTGCAGCCAGTTTCACTTCCTTGCACAGGGAGAGCAGCTTCCCCCAGGATATCCAGGAGCTGGGCAGGAAGACCAAGCTGGGACTGAGATTCCAGAGCTCCGCTCCATTGCCTGCCACTTGTGTGGCCATGGACTCCACAACCAAGTCACGAGTCCTAAGCCTGGTGCATCTCAGGCTGCTGCTCCCCATTGTTACAAGGAACCTTACCAGAGGGTTTATCGGCCTCATGCCAGGCAGAGGGAGGACTAGAATCTGTGGCACTGAAACAGCAGAGTTGAGTTGGAGTACCATTGCTTTTCATGTTGTAGGTGGGTAGTGTTTGTATTAGTATTAGTCTGGCACTAACTACTCCACAACAGCCCCATCAGGGAGCCCAGCCTCCTGACCTTGTGGTTCCACTTCAGCCAGCAAAGTACTGTCACCTGTGGGCAAAGTGTGCAAAGTAGGCCGGCTCACAGGGGAGTAAGCATTGTTGGTGTCACTCAGGAAGCACACAGCTGTTCTGGGCAGTCTGAGGGGGTGGGGTTTCATCTCTGTAGATCAAAAGGAAAATAGTTTTAAAAGAAGGAAGATTCCTAGGGCTGGAAAGAACAAGGCAAGCAGACACCCACATACTGCCCACGGGGCGCAGCCAAAGACTCAGGAGGAGGACCCGTGGGTGTCCCTTGAGCACCCAGCTACACCAAGCCAGCTTCCTGCTCTGTTGTCACATGCTGGGCTGAGAGGTGACATGCACCCAGGCTTCCAATGCTCTGCACATTTCCTCCATCATCACAATCATCATCCCTGCCCAGGCAAGGATGTTTTTGACCCCAGAAAGCCCTGAGGTATCTGCTCGTGGTGAGACCAACTGCTGAGAGAGAATGCTGGGGGTGGTGGAGACTAATCTAGACCTAGCTGTGGCCGTCCAGATGTGACACTGTGCCTGGGAGCTCCCGTCAAAGGAAGTTGTCACCCTTGGACCATGTCCCAAGAGAGCCCAGGTTCAGCCTGTTCTGTACTGGAAGGCAGGAGAGTTCCCCTGCCATGCCTATTTGAAAGCCAGACCCATGTGCTCTTTTCACAGGCCCCAGCAGGAGAGCACCTCTTCTATCACATGTGCCCTCTCCCCCCCGCACACTTATGGGTACATCTGTAGCCTGCTGCCTTCAGACCTGGGGGATGCAGATCCTGCTGATGAGATGGAAGATGACCCCAGCATAGAGGGAGGAGACTGCCACACCACGCACTTCTTCCAGCGGTATTGCCAGACACCCTCCTCCAGCCCCAGTGAGGCTGAAGCTGAGGGCTCCCTGGGTGGCTCCCTGCTCAATGGCTGGGGCTCAGTCTCAGAGGAGAACTTTACCAGCACACGCTGCAGCCTGGTCAGCTCCTCAGATGGCTCCTTCCTCATGGATGCCAACTTTGCTCAGGCATTGACTGTGGCAGTGGACAGCTTCTGTTGTGGTCTGAGTCAGCCAGAGGCTGAGCAGGCTTACTCAGGTAAGGGGACCCTACCCCTCTGGGAAATAGGAGCCCTGCCCGCCCCTGCTACATAGCCCAAAGCCCTTCTCTGTCAGTTCTGGTCTTTTCCTTCCTAATTAAATGTGGGTGCAATGGGAGTGTTAAAGTCATAATAATTCCCAGCGTCTTAGTAATGAGGGTGCAGGCTCACTGAGATCTCACTTTGCCACTACTTGTGGCCTATGTTGGTAACGTTATTGCCAGTATTATTGAAAAGGGACTTCAGAGCAGGGATGGAACTAAACCCTGGGCAAGCTAAAAGGACAGTCCTTGTCATAGGCAATGGAAGGGGGGAGGCGAAAAGGGCTTAGCCCCTCCAAATGCGGGGCAACGGTAGGGCCACAAGGCAGCCCAGCCATGGGCTCCTAGTACCTGCAGCAGGAGTGGGGAGGGGTATGCACGCAGTACTGGGGGAGGGAGTGGGGCTGGGGCTGCAGCAGAGACAGGTGGTACACAGCCGGCGTAGGGTGCAGGATGGAGCCAGGAACACAGCCACCAGTGGCTCATCTGGGGACATGGCTCCTCCCCCAACCCCCACTCCCAGCAACGCCACCCACCCCGAATGCAGTGCAGCCTGACCCCTACCCTCCCACCCCACACCAGGAAGAGCCCAGCACAGACCTGGCCCCAGCCCACAGCAGCAGTCCACCCCACCCTGCACTGCACAGATCCTGGGGCACTTGCCCCCCATGCCCTCCCAGGGTACATGCAGCAGCAGGACCCGCACCCCCCAGACAAGCCACTCACGGCTCCATCTTGCACCCTGCCCCAGCTGTGCAGGACTTGCCCCAGCCCTAGCCTCAGCCCCACACCCTCCCTCACCGCCGTGCAGGGGGAGATGCAGATTGAGGCCCCAGTGGGGAGGGAGGGAGCGGGGCACAGGCAGGATCAGGGAGTGGGGTGAGTGGGACCCTGACCAGGCCAGGTGATGGGACAAGTGGGAGCTCTGGGGGGCATGTGCTCCCGGATCTGCTCACAGGGCAAAGGCGGCTGCACTTTGCTCCCTGCTGCAGCTGCCCCATGCCCCCGCCCACCTGGTGGTGAAGTGCACGTGGCATTGTGTGCCTGTCAGGGCAGTGGGGCTCAAAGCCCAGTCCGCAATGGCAGCCGCCTCTGCCCCGCACACAGATCAGGAGGCATGTTCCCCCACAGGCCTCCACTTGTCCTACCACCCCACCCATCTGGGCGCAGCCCCCCGCCACTGCTTCTGCCTGAATCCTGTTCTCTCCCTCACTGCTGGGGCCTCAATCTGCCCCCCACGGCCCTTTCCCTTTCCCCACACACTTACATGCTGGGGGGGTGCACATGTACATGCGCACTCAGCCCCCGCCAATAATTTTTTCTCCCTGTGCCTGTGGTCCTTGTGTGAGGAGAGAGACCTGGCCACAGTCCAGCCTGCTACAGGGTCACAGTGACAGGCTCTGGGCCAAACAGGTACAGCCAGGGTCCTTAATGAAATTTATGCTCTGGAGCTGACACAGCTTGGGAAAGTGTCTCCACCCCCACTGGCTCTGAGTCAGGCTGGACCCTTTTCCCTTTCAGGAGCTCAGATCCCGTTTTTCCTGACCCTGTGTGGTGGGTAGGCAGTGGACCCCAAATGTTTCCCACACCCCATTCTTGGAGAGTTCTTCCTGTTTGCCGGTTGAATTGTGAGAGAAAACAGGGGCCAGGCCAGACAGCCCCATCCCCAGAAGAGCACAGAGGCTGGGCATGGGCTTGCTCTTACAAAGAGTTGCTACAGCAAGGGAACAAAGGCCCAGGCAGCCATTGCACTGGCAGTCTCAGGAAGTGCCTGACCCTGCACTGCAGACCAGGGGCCGGGGCTGGATGGTATCTGCAGCCTGGAGTATGGTGAGGAGCCTTCATCTAACCCCATCCCAGAGGCACGGGCCTCACAGGGGACATGCATTGTTTGGGTACTGTCTGCCTCAGCCCTCACACCATGGATCTAGAAACAACTGGCATCTTCCCAAGCTATGGCACTAGCTGCTCATGGGACAGGAGCAGAAGCAGACCCTACTGCACAGGGCATGGGCACTGGCCAGTGCCTACCATGTCTGGGCAGAGCTGCTTAGCTAAGTGAAGGCTCCAGGACACTTGGTACCTGGGGAGGCCCAGTGCCTCCTGCACCTCCCTGTATACAGGGGGAGAAAGCCCTAGTCTTATGCTAGATCAGCCCTCACTATCTGCAACCAGTTCTGGCTGGGCTGTGGGGTCTGGAGTATGTCTGGTGCATGTTTTTTCTGCTGCCCTAGCATAGCAGATGAGCAGGCCTGTCAGGCACTCTCAGTGCGTATGTGTGACCAACAGGGGGCATCTGTGCAGCATGAGCAATAGGTAGACTGGTTCCCAGGGGCTAAGTGTTCTGCTTCTGCTGTCACAGGTCAGCGGATTAAGCATGGACTGGACCCACCTCTCTGTCTCAGCCAGGACCTCCTTAGCTCAGCTCTGCCCTGCCAGATAAGGAGCTGCCTACAGATGTGCAGAACTGGACTGTGCCTGGATACTGCTCCCCTGCAAAGACATGGGGGCTCAGGCAGAGAAAAGTGCACTCTGGTCTCCACACCCTGGTTCATTACACAGTCTCTCTAAGGTTCTGGGCCTTCCATTGAACCCCTGAGTAATGGTGCATCTACATGAGACATTTACTGTGGAGTTGCCTAGTCAGCTCTGCAGTAAATATCTTGACATCTACACTTGTGAACCTATTAGGCCACAGGAAACTGATAAACTCCGCAGCAGGTTAGTACTATCTTGCTGTGGAGTTTTTTTACATTGCAGCACTGCATGTGTAGACGCTGATGGGGCTGGCTGCAGCACAAGGATGCTTGAGTGTGGGACCTGCCTGCTGGCTAGCCCTACATTAGAGCCACCCTACACTAGCCCCACACTGGAGCACCCTTGTGCCTCAGCCAGCCCCTCCACAGCACATTGAGCTAGGTCAGAGCAGTCCTAGGCTGGCAGGCTAACCCCTGGGCCCACTGCCAGCTAGGGCAGCTTTGATCCAGCTCAACATACTGCAGTGCCAGGCGACATGTATAATTGTGGCACCTGGGAGCAATAACCTCTGGTATGCTGGAATATATTGCTTCACCTTAACATGTACGTGTAGATGCTTCCACAGTGAGGCAGGCAGCCAGGAGGCACAATAATTTATGATGCAGTGCATTTCTATTTCCATGAGCAGGCAGGCTTTGGGTAGGAAACTTTTAGCTCCATTCATTTAATCATTTATAGCTTATGTGAGTGCACAAGGGAAAAAAAAAACAACCTGTAAGACACAGGAGCAGACTGGCTGGGTTGCCAAAAGAGCAAGGGGCCTGGGTGCCTCCCATACCTCTAGGGGTGCACAGGGTTGAGTGGTTGGGTCACACCTCATCACTGCTTGGGGCCTGGGGTGTCAGATGGATCAGGTCTGCTGCTTTTCAGAAGGGAGGCAAGGGATCAAGCCGCTGTACTCAGAGGCCCTGGGGTCAGAGGCCAGGTCAGACCTGTTACTCTTAGGTACTGTAGTTTCCAGGCACATCCCCATTGGTGTTCAAGGGTCCAGGATTTGGCTTAGGCCTCATCACTCTTTGGATCCTTAAGGCCCAAGTTTCCATTGCCATGAAGCATGACAGCTGTGTTAATACTTTTAGCACTGAGGCATCAGTCCTGAGCCCCCAATGGGGAAGTGCACACCAGGGTATTCTGCGAAGTAAGCTCCACTTGGGAGGGTCACAGCCCTGTGTGCTGTGTTGCCACCAGTTTCAACCCTCACCAGGGGTCCCCTCCCCATCCCCACACAAACTCCTGCCTTGCTCTGGTAGCACTAGTGCAGTCCCTAGCAATTCTGTGTAAGAAGATGGGGGGGAGGGGGGTGGGCTCTGTCTGTACAGGGTGGGGCCTCCTTGTCAGTCCATGCAGTGCTGGGCAGGCTTTGGTGGCCTTGGGGGCACTGCATCTGCCCACAGCCTAGTGCACCATACACCTCTCAGCAAAATAATGGCCTTTATTTTTCCCATGCAGACTTCTTGCCACCTACCTCCCTTCTGGATGGGCTCCTTTACCCCCCTGAGTCCCAAGAGGTCACAGCAAGACTTGGAGCAGAGCCCCTGTCTGTGTGGAGCTGGACCAACAACTGGATGGAAGACATGGAAGCCAAATTTGCCCAGCAGGCCCAGAGGAAACATACCACTGTGACAGCAGAGGAAGGGAAGGCAGTGCTAGGTGGGACTCAGCTACCCTCTGCCCCCTGGCATCGGGCAAATCGCAAGTATCAGGGCTGCTGCATGCTTCATGGTACTGGTGCATGATGGGCCCGTCTGGCCCCTGCTGGAGCAGCGTGGGCTGATTTGTCAGTCCTCTCAGTCTTCCTAACGTAACTGTATGTACTCCCCATCCTGTAGTACTGGCCCTGCTCTCTCCTGGGGCCTGGGTAGCACCACCATGGAGTTTCCAGGAAGCCCTTTAACCTCCCCCAGGTCATGAGCATTCTGGGAAACCCTCAGTTTTTCCCCCACTCCCTGGATTCTGCCAACATCCTCAGCTTGAGCCCTTGGGGCATGTTTGACACAGAGATGGCTTCAAAGAGCTGGCATTGCCTTGAGCAATGTTGTAACACTCCTGTCCTCTTTGGCTCTCCCTGTAACACCCTCACAGGCTGAAGCTGGCTAGACCCAGAGGTCCCTTTCTCTTATGCCTGCACTTGGCTGCTTGGCTGCAGGGAATGGCCAAGTCTCCCAGAAAGAGCACCTGGAAGAGTTCTCCTCCCAGGAGTAAGAAAGGATCAAAAGGAGAAAGCATGGGAGCTCCCTCCCACCCACAGCTTGGACTGGGAGGAACTCTTCACCCAGCCAGTGACTGGATGGAGGAAAGGTCCCTTCAGGTTTCCATTCCCTGCTGCCAAAGTCTCTCTGCCTTCTCTTACAGCCTGGGGCAGCCCTTTTGGTTCTCAGTGATGCTGGCTGCTCTGCAAGCAGTTGGTCCTGCTGGGTTTGCTTCCATGCCACTTCAAGCCAGCAGTCCTGTATCCTGGGGGCCTTGCTCCCAGCTCTTTGCAGCTACATTATGTTCTGCTGGAAATGACCCATCTGAGCATCATGGAGTTAACGCTGCATACTTCCTGCTGGGTATCTGTGAGCAGGGGGTGGGGTGCTCTGGGAGCTGGGTTCAGCTTGTGCAGCCCTATTTTCCCAGCACCTGGTGACTCCCCATTGATTTCCTATGCTCCTGCTGACTGACACAGGCCTGCATGGCCTCCCACACCTTTGCACCTCAATGAACTGAAAGGCTCAATTAGAGCCAAGGCTGTACCAATGAATCTTTAACTCAGCCTGCATCTTCTGCCACACTAACTCTGTTGGAGGGAGGGGGTGCAGCCAGCAAGGGCAGCTGCAGAGAGACTGCAGTTGCCTTAGCCATTTGTGGCACCTTATCTCTTCCTGGTCTACATCACAGGAATTGTTTCTCTGGAGAAGAGCAGATCAGTTACCTTCCAGTGTCTGGTTTGACTCCAGCACTCAACAGGCCCTGCCCATGTTCAGGAAGGTACAGGATGCTGTAGCAGGCAGTTGGGGGATAACTTGACCCAGGGGAATTCTGCTGCTTCAAATCCCTGCAGCAGGGCCTGGGAGGTCATGCAGGACTGAAGCTAAGATTCAGTACCCTGGGGCTTAGGTCAGGCATAGCCCTACCATGGGACTTGAGATTCACCTCAGGGACCACATCTCAATCCAGAAGGACCCAAGCTTGCAATGTTTGCCCCTCCTTGCCTGATCCTTTCCCTGAAGCTCTACAACACAGACCACGTGTAGTAGGGTAGCTGTGCTCCCTACATCACAGTAGACCTTTCCCAGCAGCCCCAAGGTATTGATCTGATCTGAGTCTGGCTTCAGTGGTGGGTTTCCAGAGAGGAGTGCCTCTGGCTGTGAAACGCTGGTGCTGCACAGAGATGACTGGTAGAGGGGAGTCCTGGACGCAGTGCACCATAACATTTGCCCCCTCTCTTGAGGTTAGGATGGGAGTAGCCTCCACTTGTTAGTGCCTTGGGATGTATGGGAAAAAGGACAACGAGGAGCAAAGGGGTGCTGTATTGTTTGGAAGATCTTGTGGAGATCCCTGAATCCCTGGTGTCTATTCATAAGCAGAGAAGAGACTGTTAACTGATGCCTGAGGCTTGCAGGATGTCCAACAGCCTGTTCTGCCCTTTTCCTTTGGAGATATCCATGCCCTTGCCTTGCCATCAGACCTGTATGCTTTGTGCCATGGTAAGATGGGCCTTACATGGCCTTGGCAGGGGGAGGTTATTGTGGTTCCATTTGTAGCAGGAAAACTGAAACCTCTGAGGGAGTTTGGCAAATTAGGCCCTCTGGCCTGCATTGCAGCTACTCACGCGATATCACCACAAGTTAGAGCAGCTGTTCTTGGTAGCTATGACCAGCAGGTACAGGGCCGCCCCTTCCAGGACCCTTGAATCTGCTTGAAGCATTGACTCTGTGCATGTCCCTGCCTTGTGCTAGGCATATCCTAACTGCATGGTAGTCCTTCAGCATGCCCCACTGTAGTAAAATGAACCAAAAGCCTCTGACCTCACAGCACTAAGAATCACTTGTCAGCATCAAAGGTTCAGACAACTATAGGGACATACTGGAGTACTCACTGAAGTCAGTGTGTGCCCTGGCTCCAGTGGGCTCTCCACTCCCTCCCTAGAACAGACCAGCGAAGATGAGCCTCACTGTGGTGTAGAAAGGTTTCCTTGTACATGGACTGCTCTGCCCAATGGTGTATCCTGGCCAGACCCTACCTGCATCTCTTTGGACAGCAGCAACCTCTGCCTGGGCCTGTCTAATGCTGATGGTCTCTACTTTAATTAGTGATTTCTTTCTAGGTACCCACGTGTCTGAGTCCAGCAGCCCCTGGGAAGGAACAGTCCGTGAGCACCAGGACCCCAGCCCTGCTGCCTGCAGTGACATGCCAAGCAACTTGGCCATGCACTGGAAGGGGGAGAAAAGCAGAGTTGTGATGCTGCCAGTGGACATGACACAGTCACTGGTCAAGGTGTAAGAGAGCTGTTCTGTTCCAGGCAGGCACCTATGTATGCTCTGTCTGTAACTCCACGGAGACTCTGGACAGAGATGGGAAGTGGGTGAGTTGCAGTTGGCCTAGGGGCTCACTCTTACCTAATAGCATTCCCCACTCCAGTCCCTCCTAGAAGGCCTCCTTCCCTGCAAGCTGAACCCCTCATGAAAAGACTTCAAAGATTCTCCTGAACTGCAGCACTCCAGTCTCCCAGGCAACTGATTTTACCAGCTCTTGCCAGAGCCCACAGCTACAAGAGAGGAGCATTCAGCATCAGAGGTGGAACAGGCAGGAGCTGGCAGCTCTTGTCAGAGAAGGTCAGAGGCCTCTCCAGAACTCCCTACAGGCCCAGTGGGATATCATACCATCTTAGTCTATTGCACATATAATATCTGGAGTGGGTGGCCTTGTTTTCTCATTGGATTCCCTGATCTCTGGTAGGAATCCTGCTTCCCTTTCATTGGCTAGTGTTCCATGTCTACTGGATCTATCTGGGACATCTAAACAGGATTCCTCTTCTAGGCTTTGGATTCTAAATTGTTGCTCTGGGACCCTGCCTGGAGCATCCAACAGAATGGGACTGTCTTATGCCACAAAAAGAGACCAGTAGTTTGGGAACCCCTCCAGCTGTTGTTGATTTACAGTGTCCTTCATGTGCATGACTTGTTACTCCCATGGCCCATACTGGGAGGCCTGCAGAGCTGCTCATCCAGCTGGTACTCATGGAGTCCTCCTTTCAATGCCAATTTGGTTTGTGATGGAGTTTGGTTGAATTGCTGCCTTTGGTGTTATGTTCTAGATGCTTTGCAGGGTCAGTCTATTTGTAGCTTTTCAAGCTTCCTGTAATGGTTTTCTTGAGGCTTTTACTGATCTGGCCTGATTGCCCACTACTAATATGTCTATGCCCTTATTTCTGTAAATAAAGAGCTCCTGCTCCAGAGGTGCCAGTCACTGCATAGTTGCCTGCCTTCCAGGAATGGTCTCCAGCACATCTCCATCAAGCTGCAGGTCTCACTGAGCCTTATGAGAGAAGTTGGCTCAGAGGTGGAGTCAAAGGGTCAGCTCCTGGCAGCCCTGCAACAACCAGCTCAGGAGATGCCCTGCCACTCACCTTTTCAGGACCAAGGTCACAGCACTAACCCCAGATATACCCCTAACTTCCCCACCATGATAGCTCCAGCCCTGCCCCTGCCCCTGCCCTCAGAGGATGGCCATGGCAAAGTGGGGATTCTCACCTGCTGTCACCAATCCTAAACTAGCCCACGGTCATTGGCCAGGGCCCAGCACAGTTGCTTTGGCCCCCTGAGGGGCGGTGGGAGCAGAGCCAGAGAGTGAGGTTGTGGTTATCCTTGTGTAGGGAGGGCATGGGGGTCTTTGCATGGCAGATGCCAGAGGTGCTGCAGATGGTGCTACTCTTCATGGGAACCTGCTCCTCAAGCTGGGTCAGGCAGCCCCGTCCAGTGTAGTAACAAACAGAGTTGGCCCTCAGAGCAGATTCTGCAGGAGATCGTGGGAAGTAGGCATGAGGTTCTGAGAGTAGGGGGTGCAAAGTAGGGGGTGTTGGTAGCAGAGGCAAGAGAGGCAGCCCTCTGACCCAGCTGGGAACTCCTACAGGGTCCCAGCTGAGCTGCTGCTTCCCTTTGTCATCCAGCTGTTGCTCTTAAAGCAGCAGCAGCTGCCGAAGCACTGACTCCACGGGGCGGGGGGTGCGGAATTCCGGCACACTTAACTTGCAGCTCCTCCTGCCCATCCTTAGTTATGCTACTGCTCCTGTCCAGCACACAGAGCAGTTTGAGCTATGTCCTAGGTTAACTGCTCTGGGTTAAATCTCTGGCTGACTCTCAGAGATGGTGCATTTAGAGCCATTACTGGGACTTTGTCAATGTAAATGAGCTGCCCTGACTTCATACTGCTGGGCATCACTGAGTGCTGTAGGGAGCAAGAAATGCTCCAAAATCAGCCATGAATGTCTTTAGGGCACTGATGCAAGGAAGAGCTTACTGGTCCACTGCCTGCCACCTCCAACAAGATGCTGCAGAAAAGGAGTGTCCTTTTGTGGCAGTCTATCCCACACAGGCCCTGGGCACCACCCAGATGGGAACCTCTAATCCCCTAGCAGCACAAAGCCCTTTTATGGACAGAACAGTTATTTACTTACACTATTGACTCTCCTATGATATGGGATTCCTTCCAAGAGTGTCCTCATTGAAACTGGGCTCAGGACTTGAACCTGGGAAGCCCATGTAAGCATGGTGTGGAGAGCAGCAGGGGATGCTTAGTTAATGGTGGAAAGGCATCTGCACCTGGCCCAGATCCTATTCCACTTAAATTGTTGTAGATAGCTAAGCCCATTCTGTCTATTTCTGTAACATCATTATCTTACCCTTAGGCCTGAATTACAACAAAGCAGTGAGGAGGCAAGTCAATGAGTGATACACTTATCCATTGTATTAAAATTGTTCAGGGACTTGAGCAAAGTGCAGTAGGAGCTCACTTAGCTGGCTAAGTGCTCTTACACAACTAATAGGTTGTATAGGATCTCATCCATATGTCTTGGTGTCCCTGGAGCCTAGGTGCAGTTCCACATCCTGGGAAAGGCTGCCAGTAAAGGAGAGGGGGCTGGAGACATTCATCAAGGAGCTACATGTTCCATTAGAACCAATATGGGTTGGGGACAGGAGAAGCTGGTGTATGGTCCAAGAAAGAAGCTCTCAGGAGTGGCTCAGCAGCCGGGTGGGATGCCAACACTGCAGGACACATTTATTAGGGGGCTGGAACAAGAGGATGCAATGGGCCTGCTGGATCTTCTCAGGTGTGATCTCTCTGCCTGGCAAGGGGAGCTCAGGATCAGGAACATAGGTGTGAGCCTGGCCTTGCCTTTAAGCTCCTTTTCCAAGTGGTCCAATACAGAAGAGGAATACAGCAGCAACACTGCTGGAGTCAAAGACAGGGCTGTGGACATGATCAGAGCTGCAGCCTCTCCCTCCCAACTTCACAGCTGCCTTCACCTCCCACGCCTGCTGAGCCTTTGCAGGAGCTCAGTGAACTTCACACCATTCGGCAGGACTGTGTGAGACTATCCTGCTACTTGAAGAGGATGATGGAGCATTCTGTTAGGGCTCTGGACTGAAAACACATCCATAAATAGACTAGAGAGAGGATAGGGGAGGGACAGGGAACAACTCTTTATCAATTAATAGACATCCCCACCCCCAGGGGCTCTCACCCCAGGACAGGATTGCTAAGAAGACAATCCGCCCCTCCTTTCCTAGGGCAGATACCAAGTGCTTGGTGTCATGTGGTTCTTGGGCACTTCAATAACTTTGGGAGGTGACCCCATCCTGCTCTGTGGCCTCCTCAAGCTGGGGACTGGAGGCACTCTCACACCTCAGCTCTATGGCAGCATCTTTGACATCTGCTGGCTGTTGATTGGGTGCTGTTGACTGACCTCCCATCGTATGTTTCTGGGTGAGGAACATACTTAGAACAGGAAAGAGCACAGCCAGGAGTTCTTTCTCTCTTTGTGCAGGCCCTCTTTTTGTATGTCAGGGCCTAGCTGGCAAAAACTGGGGGTTGCTGATTCTGCACTAATGCTGCTCATAGGCCTTCTGGGGCATCACATTGTAGCTGTAATTGCTCTGCTGGGCTGTAATACTTCAAGGCTGATGCCTTGCTTGTGACTTCCTTTATTCTTTCAAATACTTGCTTCTGGGATTCTGCCTAGTCCCATGCTGTTCCTTGTGTATTAGCTGTCTCAAAGGTTTCCAAGCCTCTGAGAGGTGTGCATGGACTCTGGAAAGTCTATACATCACTGAAATCCCTTTACCTCTTGTGGTCTGGGCATTTCCTTAATGGCTCTCAAGCCTCAGGGTCAAGCTGGAGTCATTACTAAGTCCAGTATAGGGGACCTCATTTCTCCTCAACTTGTCTGAGTTTAACTTAATATTCTGCTCCTTATATCTGCTTAGAAGCTGTTGCAGCTTAGCATCATGGTCCTGGTCAGCCTCTTCCTCACTATCTCCATCCTGCACAGTCAGGACGTCATCTGCTACAACTCCAATTGTTGTAGTGCCTGATTCAGTTTGTGCTGGAACACCTCTAGGGTAGGACTGATGCCCATGGGCATTTGCACCCATAGGTGCAAAGATTGTCAGATGCAAAGATTGTCAGATGGCTTTGAGGACTTACTTAGCTTGATATGCCAGAATTCATTTTTACATCATAAACTGTAAATATGTTTGCCCTTGATAATTCAGGCCATGTCCTTGAGAGTGGGTTCTTTTAATGGGTTCTTTTAATGCCTTGTTAAGAGCATTTGGAGCTATGCAGATCCTCAGTCTGCCAGCTGGTTTTCTTACCACAAACTGATCCAGTCAGTGCTAATTTCCTTGGTTAAACAAGGCCCCTTCTTGTTAGGCTTGTTAGTTCCTCTTTTGAGTGGCTACACCTGGGCAACTGGTACTCTCTGTTTCAGCAGTCACACAGGATAGATCTTTGGGTCTATTTCTAACTTGAGGTCATCCCCTATAGGCGTGTCTCCTTTAAATACATCTTTATACTTTAAAATATCTGACAAGGACCAAGATCTTCCTCCCTCCTGTCTCAGTGCTGCACTGTGATCAGATCCATGGCTTGCACTGTTTGGCTGTCTACCAGCGGATGGTACTCTTGAGTGCTGACCATATGAATTCCAGGCACCACTGTTTTTTTCTGTGGATTGGGTATTGATAGTCTGCATTTAGCCACTGGATATATAGTTATTTTTATTGTATATCACCAGTATCTTTTCACATTCCTCCAATCTGGTATTACTGCTAAGCAATTTTGCAGGACTTACATTGCAGCCGGTTCCACAATTTGACACAGCAACGGCAGAGTTCTGCACTTAAGATGGGCTCATTCCATGCACAAATAGACTGGGGAATGGTTGGCTAGGCTTCAGTATTTCAGAAAAGGACCTAGGGGTTGCAGCTGAGTATAAGCCAACATTGTGCTTACTGGATTGTATTTACACAACAAGGGACGTGATTCTTCTGTTCTACTCAGTACTGGTGAGGTCTCACCTGGAATGTTGCATCCAGTTTTGGGCCCCACATATCAAGAAAGATGTGGTCAGATTAGAAAAAGTCCATAAGGGAGCAACAAAAATGATTAGAGACCTGGGGAGCTTGACTTAATGAGGAAAGGCTGAAAGAGCTAGGGTTATTTAGTCTGGAGAAGAGGACTGAGGGAGGATTTCAAATACATGAAGGGTGTGTTTGTTCGGGACAGATTTAGGAACAACGGCCTCAAACTGCAGCAGAGGCAACTTATATTGGTAATTAGGAATAACTTTCTGACTACGAGGTTGCCCAGAGAGGTTATGGAATTGCCAGCCATGGACGTTTTCATAGAATAAAAAAAATAGGGCTGGAAGAGATCTCTGGAAGTTATCTAGTCTAACCACTTGCCTGAGGCAGGTTCATCTCTATTCAAAACATCCCAAACAAATTGTTGTCTAACATTTCAACCTATTACAAAAACTACATAGGCAGCTCTGCCACACAACCACAAAGCATAGCGCCCTTGCTGCCACAGGTATAGTAAAGGGGACAATGTTGGCCAATGTCCTGATGTTGCAAGGGTTGTTAAAATATGCTCAGGATATCTGAAGAAAAAGGCTATAACCCTGCTACAGAGGAAGGCAAACCCCTCCTCACCCCCCTGCCCCCTCCCCGCCAAGTCTGTACTAATCTGACCATGGGTTAAAAAGTCTTTCCTGCCCCAAAATAAGGCGATCAGTCTGACCTTGAGCAGAGGGGCAAAACCCACTAGCCAGGAACCTCCAGGTTTTGGTCCCAGCAGGAGCACTCTCAAACTTCAGTCAAAAGCCCAAGCCTTGGCTGCAGCCAACACCATATGCTTCTGAGGAAAAGCAAATCCTCTCCACCAGCACCTTGCCCCCACCTCCCACCATGTGTAGCAACAGGAGGGTGAAAAAATTACTTCCCAGTCCCAAGTGGCAACAAGCAAAGGCAGAAGCATGGGGAATACCCACAGGCATAGCTACTCCTAGATCATCCCGGATGATGATGCCTAATACCTCTATTTGTACATCTCCAGTGAAGGAGATTCCACAACTTCCCTAGGCAGCCTATTTCACTGTCTTGCTTTTCCAGCAGTGAAGATGCTTTTCCAATTCCCCCATACCTTTCCATGTACCCATTCTGCCCTTCCCAGAGCTAGTGGCACAGCAGCACAAGCCTCCCAGTACCTCATGCAGCAGGATGTTTTCAGTCTAGGTGAAACTGGCAGGTCTGGCACAGGGCACACCTCATCAGCTCCCATGTGTCCAGACTGCATGTGTCTCCCGCAACAAGGTCTCTGGACAAAGTGTCAAGGGCCGAGTCCCTAACACACAAGTACATTTCTGTGTGGACAGCTACTCAAAGGGCAGCTACTGATCCATCTATAGGTGGCCTGGGAACTGGGCTACAGCATCTTCCAGCTGGCTACTTTTCTGCCATCTTTTGGCAATGATGGCCTGAGTACTCCCAAATCTGTACCCCATGAAGTATGAAGACCTAGTGTTACCTGTCAGTTCTGTGTTCCTGAGGAAACCCTGGCACACAGCTTGCTGGACTTACAAAGGACTTTTTCTACCTCCCCCTCCGCCCCCCACACCTCATCTAACCAGAACTAAGCAGAAGAAAAGTTTAATAGGCATCTCAGGCTGTACATTCCCACGATGAGAAGCCTATTTAAACCTGATTGACTAAAACTCAGTCACTGGGTTAGGGAACACTGAGGCAAGAGACCAAGTCAGAGGGGGTATGGGCAACATTTGAACAATGGTTAAGGGTTCATCACAGCATCCAGCCTGTTGACGCCCTGACCACAAATTTTGTCATACTTTTCCTCGGATGACTGGTGGAAGTCCTCCCCACAAAGTTTATGAACCCTCCAAGTCATCCCCTTAAGTCTGTTAAAAGACTACAGTAAAATCTGAGAGTCATGCTAAGCTGAGGCTTATTCACAACAGGTAAAATAGAAAACACTGATGCTGACTCCACAGTGCAAGCATAGCTAGGCCATCTGAGAAGATCCCTTCCAGTATATTCATAATAATTTAAAGCTGGCTTCTAGGTGTCTGGTTACTCCTTAAAACTTAATGTTTTCCCTGGTTGTTAATCACTTTCTTGAGATGTTCCAAACCAGATAACCCCTTTTCACTGAAAAAGGTAATTCATTTAAATTTAAACTGTTTATATAACATGATTTTCCCTGTCAATTATGGCTTGGGACCCTCTTGATTTACACAATTAAAAAAATGCTTTGAAGAGGCTAGACTAAGGGTATAAGAAAGCTGTAAAGCAGCAAACAGTGTGCTTCAAGAGACAGAAATCTCTCTGACACCATCTGCTGTTGTTCTCAAGAAGCTGGGAGAAACAGATCGTCTCCCTTCAAGGATCGTGCTGGGAACTTTGCTTGCCAACAAATCACCCGAGTGCCTTGGAATGGTGAGATCCCAGCTCTTACTCTCTCTCTTTCTCCCGCTTTCTCTCTCTCTTTTTCTTTTTCTCTCTAGGCATAGCTTTCTGAACCTAAATTGTATTAGTTAAGCTTGAGCTAGGTTTCTTCAAATACTCAATTAAACCAGGGTAATATTGTAATTGTTTTTGTTTGTTTTTCCTTGCATGTCTATTATTACTAGTACCATTATAAATGTCATATACTTAGAAATAAATAACTTTTATAGTTAAACTGGTGGTAATGGAGTGTATTTTTCCTTCTCTACTTCCCCTTCCCCACTTGCTCTGCAGCAACGCTTCTTTTACCTAAGCCAAAGATTCCTGTGAAGCCCAGAAATACTGTGGGGTCCGCTCATCAAGAGGCTATCACTACTAAGACAGTTAGGGCAAAAGATTGGGACGTGCTGAGTTTGAAACACAGAAGGGGATCAGCTTGTATAGGCTGATTGACCCAATTTGACTCAGACGTGCCCTTATGAGCTGAATGCTGGCCCATGGGGGTGTCAGCTGGACACCCAGCTGGATTCAGAGGTATTCTG